TAGTCTAGTTAGTAAGTTGAAAGAAGATAGTAAATGCGACAATTTTATTGCGAACTATGCCAATTTTGAACGTCCTAACTATAGGTACTTACTTCAAGTCATTCTTCAAATTATTCTTATTCAATTCTGCTTTACAAAATAATAAAAGGCTAGATTTCTAATACGAAACTTGATAAAACCCTACAGAAAGTAATCAATTATTACTCTTGTGGTTTTCGTAGAAACTGATTTTGATGAACAATCAGATACTATATCATCTTATTACCTGTAGATATTAATTAATAATTAAACTAATCAAGTAGATTAATTTTACCGCACATTTTCTTAGAAACTTGCGCTAACCGTTATTAAAAATAATACAAAATGTTACCCAAGATATACGTTATCTAAACACATAATAATTATCTCCAAAAGTATTTTTGTACTATAACAAATTTGTACGAACCAAACATTATTTTAATTTTTCATCATTCTAATTCTCTGTGGTTAACATACGCAAAAGTTCTGCATAATCAACTGTGAAGGTCACTCATTTCAATTGAATGATCATAATAATAATAATTAGTAACTGAAGATTCAGCGACGGTTTTTATCAAATTAATTAAATAATGACAAAAACCGCAAACCACATTTACACAACACACAGAAGGGGAAGGAGTCGAGTTCAAGGAGCTAAAGTCCTTCATTAACACATTCTAGCAAATAAAACTTTATTTTTTTAAAAACTTGGTACCTACAATAAAATTCTAAATTGTTCAAAATATAAACAATAAGTAATCTACAGACTTATTCAACCAGGCTCAATATCGAAACTCAAATTTACTCAAAACTTACTCATATCTTCGATTTTGTCCAAAAGTTCATCCCAATAATGTCTGTACATAGTGTGCTCTAATAATATTCCCAATTAAGAAACCTACAAACTCCTGTAATCAGTAATGGCTGTACATCCTGCCCTTTTAAAGCTGCAAATTTCTAGACTATAAACAGCTCCAAAAATACTCATACTAATCTAGTCTTCTCTGGTGTGGTTCGTACTAATAAATCTTCAGACTTCTCCAACCAATGATGGCAGTATATCATGCCCGAAAACTCCAAATTTCTAGGCTAAAAAAGCTCTAAAAATACTCATACTAATCTGGCCTTCTCTATTGTGGTTTGTACTAATAGACCCACAGATTTCTCTAACTAATAATGGATTTACATCGTGCTGTAATAAAGCTCTAAATTTCTAGACTATAGCTCCAAAAATACTCATACTAATCTGGTCGTTTCTACTGAGGTTCCTACTAATAAATCTACAGACTTCTCTAACCAATGATGGCTGTATATCGTGCCCTAAATCTCCAAATTTCTAGGCTAAGAAAGCTCTAAAAATACTCATACTAATCCAGCTTTCTCTATTGTGGTTTGTACTAATAGACCTACAGATTTCTCTAACTAATAATGGATTTACATCGTTCTGTAATGAAGCTCTAAATTTCTAGACTATAAACAGCTCCAAAAATACTCATACTAATCTGGTCGTTTCTACTGAGGTTCGTACTAATAAATATTCAGACTTCTCCAACCAATGATGGCTGTATATTCTGCCCTAAAACGCCAAATTTCTAGGCTAAAAAACTCTAAAAATACTCATACTAACCCAGCTTTCTCTATTGTGGTTGGTACTAATAGACCTACAAACTTCTCTAACCAATAACGAATATATATCGTACTGTAATAAACCTTTAAATTCGTACTCTAAAAAAGCTTCAAAAATACTCATACAAGTCTAGTCTTCTATGTACTATAGCTCATACTAGGTAATAAATCTACAAACTTCTCGAAGTTCGTAAACATTTCATATGAAACAATTACAAAACTATTTCCCAAAAATGGTCCCATGCTGTTTATCAATTTATTAGTAATATTCAACTAAACTTTATTGTATTAAGATACTATTAATCCGATGACTCTTCAACTAACTCAATCGATTCCATGAACGGCATTGCACATGTGTGTTGTTGCTTCTTATTATTTGCATTCAAACAGAAGAGATACGCCTTCAGTGAAAGATATCACCGCCTGATACCACATACGTGTTATGTATTTATTAGTCCACAAGTACATACATACATGCAATCACATACCGAATGTATGATTTTATAAATACATGTATCGATAGTAGGTGTGAACTACTGCACCTTTACACGAAAAAAAATCATTACTGAAACTAAAGCACGTCTTCCAATTGTTAGACGATTTTTATGGTATAATTAGTTACACAAAGACATCAATTCTTTCGTACCTATATAATGGAAAAATCAAACATAATCTATTATAAAAGACATGACAAAAGTGCCCAATATCCCACAAAATCCTAGCTGGAAAATGGCTAGGATTCACTCAAAATATAGCCCTCTATTGACAAATACGTCTACAGACTGAGTATCGGAAGTCTTAACTGCTCCAAACAAACTCACCCTAGTGTCTAAAGGTGACCTAATAAAACTCACCCTGTTAAAATCACACGCTTCTCATGTTAATTGAATATTGTCCCAAAAGTTACCCCTAATAGAGCTTTAGGTGCTGGTAGTGCCGATGTATCTGTTGTGGAAAACAAAAGGGTAGAAGCGTCTAAAATAACTTGCCCTATTGGCACAAATTCGCCTAAAAGATGCTCCTGTTTTACCAAATATCAAACAAATAATGTCTGCACTTTCTTTAGCAGACTCGATAAAACAAAATTAGTTTAATTCGGTAGCGGAACTGTGGTTTTTTTCATCTCTTTTTGCTTCCTAGCTAAAGGACTCCTAAGGCTTAGGAATTTCGAAAATTCAACATCGTCTTCTCGAAGCTTTGAATCTCTTGAATTTCAAAGGGAAAATTTGTACTTGTCTTATCATTAAACTAATTATTCCATCAAACTAATGTGATCTACATAAGTAAATATTACCTATGAATTTTGTTGTTCCCAATAAGTTCAAGTTGCTGTCAAGCCTTAAAAAGTATGACCAGTAGGGTTTTGGTTTAAGAGTTCAGATTTTAATGAATAATGCCTAACACTAATTACAGACGAATTGTTTCGGTATATGTTTGTGTAAAGATTTATATTGTCGAAAGATGATGGAATAATTAGATGATTAGTGTCAAGTTTTAATAAACAATGTAATAAAGGTTTGTATAAATATACGTATAGGTACCTATGGGTATTTTACAATAAGATATATATATACATGCGTACATTTGTTATCAGAATACCTGTGTGAAAATTGCGCAATCCTGTTGAACCGTTATCTCAAAGCATACAGAATCAATATTGTTCAACTGATAGGTAAATATCTATTGTATTACAATTTAGATTTGAGAAAACTGATGTCTATAAAAAATGTATAAATTATAGAGAGTATAGGTATAATTCAGTTATCATTGATCTTAAAATATGCATCGCTTTTGAGCGGACCTATCCAGTATACTCACAACTAATTCAAAGAGATGTTGAAGGAATTTTAACAACAAAGAAAAAGATCAGGTAAATTTTACCTTTTCTTTTCTAGCAGGTAATAGTCACAGGCAAAGGCAGATACAAAAAAAATACGAATTTTATTTGGACAAGTAAGGAAAAAGAAAATTTGATTAAAAAAGCACTTGTAAATTTGTCAATTTATCAAAAAATATATACCAATTTTCTAAACTGTGTTGTATGTTTTAAACAGTCGTCAAAAAAACCTTAAAATTAAGAAATCCGAAATAGCACACTAGAGGACACGATTCTATAAAAAGCTTGTAATTCAATTCAATTAAAAAAAATATTGACCGTAACCCAATGGAATAACAATAAGGAAAATTATAAGATATTTATGAAAACTCTACATAATTGAATTTAACATAATTTAGAAACGAACAATTTATTTTAAACTAGTGTAATTAACATATCAAAAAGTGAGTAACTAAAATCTTACAAAAATGCTAAGAGCACGTTTATTTATTTTGCAATGATATAATATAATATTAACTCCACTTTGTACATTATGTGTCTGTCCAAACGTTTTGAACGAAATGTTTCGACCTCTACGCGGTTTCTTTTTTGAAATCGTTTTAAAAACGCACATTATAGACGAGTTACGTAAAAGAAAACTAATTATAGATAAATTAGCGAAACCAGAAGAGCACTTACCAGAACATAAGTTTGGACAGTGGATTCGCTCTCGTTTCCGGACTAGGATTTTCATATTTTTTGTTGGAAATCATAGCTTGCCTTGTTCGAACGGTGATTATAAAAAGAGGAAAAACGAAAAAACAAAAACCGCAACGTTCGCGATTTCTCGCACCACTTCAACCAGTTGGTCAATTATTTGTTAAACAAAAAAAAAAAACAAGAAACAAAACAATCGCGAGCGCTTTTCGCGAAAACGATCGCGATGAAAGTGTACCGTAGCCTACTAAGAACGAGCTTTATATATGAGGAATCTTATCTGAATTGCATACACATTGTTGAAACGCGGCTCTCTCTCTCTCCTTATTACTACTCGATATTTTGTCGGTAAGTTACCACTGCTTCATGACTTGCATGTTCTGTCGTACCATGCGTACGTTATCGAAAAAAAAAATCAGTTCCGCGTCGTTTAGAAAATTATTAAACAGATAATTTCGGCGAGAGAGAGAGAGAGAGAGAGAGAAATAAATGAGTATCGGGAAAATCGAGTTATCCCGGCCGGTGCAACGAAGTGCGTGAAAACTCGTCTCGCAACGACCGATCAAACGGAACGTAGTGCGCCACGATCGCGAAGGAAGTTACGAAAAATCAGGACGAACAGGCGCCATGCCTATTGCCGTCAGAGGCGTAGTTAGGCGTCGGCGACGTCGACGATCGCAAAAATCACCCTTCAGAAAAAAACCGTTAAGAGTCGCTTGAATTGATGGCAACCGTAATAGTTACGACTAGAAATTTATTTAAAAGGATACGTGTGATTCCCGGGTTCGTTTAATTTGGCGCTTTTTTCAATCGAAACATGAAAATGACGAAAAACGTCTAGATCTGCGTTTTATTTAGTTACGCCGCTGGTTGCTGATGATGTTCATTGTTTTTTAACACACACACGCGCACGTATAAACGTTAGCATATCCCTCTTCAAACATTTGGCTCATGCGCTGCAAGGTCGTTTGTTTTTTGTTATACGAGGTGTCGTCACATCCGTCGCGTGTAATTACGTGGCGCTGTCGACAAATTTCAGCTCACTCGATAGCATTCTTTAATTCACCGTACATAATCCAGAAAAGGCAACAATTTTCGGGAACACATCTGAGACAAGTCTCATAGAGTCTCGTCTTGGAAGCCAGTACGCTTAAACATCCGCAAAGTCTTGTTTCTATATATCCAAAGAAAAAGTTGAATAACGGTACTCACATGGGACTGGCAAATTCAAAGGACTACTAATGAAATCTCATCTTTGATTCAGTCGCCTTCACATAATGTCTCGTCTCGTTCTATTAACGACAATACTCGCATGAGACTTTCAAATTCAAAGACCAGCCGGTAAATTCATGTGTTTTTCCGGAGTAATCAGCCAATTTTCGCGAAGACATCTGAGACAAGTCTCATGGAGTCTCGTCTTGGAGGCCAGTATGCTTAAACATCCATAAAAGTCTTGTTTCCATCTGTCCAAAGAAGAAGATAAATGACAGCGCCCACATAAGACCAACAAGTTCAAAGACAGCTAATTAAATCTCATCTTTGATTCAGTTGCCTTCACATAATGTCTCGTCTCGTTCTATTAATGACAATACTCGCATGAGACTTTTAAATTCAAAGACCAGCCAGTAAATTCATGTTTTTTTCCGGAAGAGTCAGCCAATTTTCGCGAAGACATCTGAGACAAGTCTCATGGAGTCTCGTCTTGGAGGCCAGTATGCTTAAACATCCATAAAAGTCTTGTTTCCATCTGTCCAAAGAAGAAGATAATTGACAGCGCCCACATAAGACCAACAAGTTCAAAAGACAGCTAATGAAATCTCATCTTTGATTCAGTTGCCTTCACATAATGTCTCGTCTCGTTCTATTAATGACAATACTCGCATGAGACTTTTAAATTCAAAGACCAGCCAGTTAATTCATATTTTTTTCCTTAATAGTCAACCAATTTTCGCGAAGACAAGTCCCATGGAGTCTCGTCTTGGATTCCAGTACGCTTAAACATCTATAAAAGTCTCCTTTCCATCTGTCCAAAGAAAAGGATAAATAACTGTGTCCAGATGAGACTAACAAGTTCAAAGGGCAACCGGCGAAATCTCACCTTTGTTTCAGTTTCCTTCATACAATGTCTCATATCTCTGTACCGACAGTTACATGAGAAACAGTCAAAATTTAATTTTACAAAAATGTGTAAAAGTTTTCAACCAAATTTTACAAGAAGGTGTC